GAATCCGTTAACCTCTCTAATTATATCTTCATCCTTGAGTACCATTGATTCTCTAATGGATAGTGATCATAAAACACATTCATGAACCAGAGTGCTCTTAGTAATCCAAGTACCGAATCAACACTCAAGAGAATTATTTCTCTACTTCTTTCTCAAGAGGGAATGGATTCTATCTCGTATAATAACATTGCCAGCTACCTATTTCATGATGTCTCCAAAATACAAGGAATAGGATTCAAGGTCTCAGAATCCGTACCGAGTAAATCAAAAGACATAAATCCAAAAATAGGAGTTTGTTAAGAACTCAGGATTAAGATCATTCTATATATGACCATCGGTAGACTCAATTAGAATTTATATGCTTAACGGAAATTATTAGAAATTCATATTGTGTCTGTGTCATTGTTCCACACAATCTCATTATGCGAAATACACTCATTCAATATCTCACCATATTAACAGTGCGGATAGCACCGTTCCATTCTAAATGGGAATTACATGTATTAATAATGTTTTAATTAAAGATTCTGAACTTTAATTAAATTCATTATGAACAATGTTTTTGATTATTATCCTTAAACACTATCCTCTTGTATATAACACTTATATACTGTGTTTAAGGTTACATAAATAATAACAGAATTTTCATTTCATATTCATAAAATATTCATAAATATATGCACATAAAATGATGAATAAACTCTTTTATTAATTAAATAATAAACATCCTATTACATCTCATGCTTCTAGGACACTATTCCCAACAATCTCCCACTTGTCCTAAAGCAGGTGTGTCATGTCTCTAATCCCAAATCCATCTAAGTGCCGATGAAATACATTCAATAGCAATGTCTTGGTGAACGGGTCAGCAAGGTTGTCCTTTGACGCGATCTTCAGAACCGCTACATCGCCTCTATCCATAATGTCTCTAATCAGGTGATATTTCCTTTCTATATGTTTCACACTCTTATGGCTTCTAGGTTCCTTTGAATTAGCCATCGCTCCACTGTTGTTACAGTAGAGCTTAAATGGCTTATCCATATCTGGAACAACTTCTAGATCAGTTAAGAACTTCCTGAGCCATGTAGCTTATTTTGTGGCTTCACAAGCTGCAACATATTCAGCTTCCATGGTAGAGTCAGCAACACACTTTGGCTATATACTTCTCCATACCACGGCTCCTCCATTAAGAGTGAACACAGATTAAGATGTCGACCGTCGACTATCTCTATCTGATTGGAAATCAAAATCTGTGTATCCGGTGAGAGATAGATCTTCTCCGGAATATATCAACATATAGTTTCTCGTTCTCCTAAGATACTTGAGAATACACTTTACTGCAACCCAATGATCTAATCCTGGGTTGGACTGGTAGCGACTGACCACTCCCACTGCATAGCAGATATCTAGTCTTGTACACAACATGGCATACATAAGGCTTCCCACAGCCGAAGC